CCCCCCCCCTCTACAACAACCACCCAGCCTACGCAGCATTTCTATCCTGGGGCAGATGCTGTGTAAACCATGGCTTGCATTCCCCAAAACTCTACAGGTACCCTTTGCGGTCGCCGGAAGCATTCCCAAATGTCTGTAATTAACATAAGTTACGGGCTGCTGTTTATGTGTGTACCAACAACAACAACAACAAGTACTACTACTACTACTACTACTACTACTACTACTACTACCACGACTGCTAACCGTTAACTACTACTACCACACCATAACTGCTACTACTTCTACTACCACTGCTGATGCTGCTGCTACTGCTACTGCTACTGCTACTGCTACTGCTACTGCTACTGCTCCTGCTGCTACTGCTGTTGCTACTGCTCCTGCTCCTGCTGCTGCTGCTGCTCCTGCTGCTCCTCCTCCTGCTTCGGCTACTACTACTGCTGCTGCTGCTACTGCTGCCGCCGCTGCGGCTGCTTCTGCTGCTGCTACTGCTTGCTGCCGCTGCTGCTGCTACTGCTTGCTCCTGCTGTTGCAGCAAGAACAACACCAAGTTAATAGTGCTGACGCCGAACCGTACAGAGAAACATCCCGATTTTAGGTAGATGCTTGAACCGCGAAACAAACTCTGCATCGTCAGCACTGAACGTACCTGCATCGGAATCGCTAGTCTTCGTCATGCGGTCTCTAGGAATCGACGGAGATGCACAGCTCCGACGGCCACGACACCCACAGCTCCTCCGCAGCTTCGGACGAGGAACGCTGTGGCAAGAAGGCTCAGGCAATCAGCATCGCAGAGGAGAGGGCCACCCGGTTTTGCAAGCATCTGAACTAATCAGCTAAGTTAAATATTCCATGGAGCGTGCCCGCGACATTACAGCACGTGATATTGGCATGTTACCCTGATGGTGGCAAACATATCAATACTGGCATGGTGCCTTCACCTCAAATTCCTGCACTCCACTTCGCCGCCGTCGCTCGCCTTGAAAAGCAATTCCTCATTCATTGAGACGTTGGAAACATTGGAATCGCATGCAAAGGAGCGCGGCAAGAAGAAGAAGATGGACCGATTGCAGCGTGCCGAGGCGACGCATCAAATCGGATTCCACAAGCGTCGTTTTTCTTCGGGCTAGCAAGCAGTGCCACTCCTGACTCCTACACTGCTGATGTTTTAGCCCCGAGACGGGGCAGCACGGATATTACCAGGGCCGCGCCGGCAGTTCGAGCCAGTCTTCTGGAGATTGTTTCTCTTCTTGTAACATAAACGTGTGATAGTAGTGACCATGGGACGCCGGACCTATACACATAAATTTTGGAAGAATCCACGCGTTGACTTCTCAGCATTTCACTGACAGGCCGTGCGCGAGGCCAAAGTGGAGGCAGATCTGCATCCTATGTGCACCTGTGCTCCTGATGCCCTGCCCCTGCTGCAAGTACTAGTTTCCAACGCCCACATGCAAGGCCCAGGATTCTCAAGCTGACAACCCGAACTTGTAAAATCAACTCCCTGCGCCAGGCCACCACCGAGGAATCGTCAGCATCCGCTGATTCCTTCAACGGTGCTCTCGCCGGCGCGCAAATTTTAGTGACCTGGCAGAAGGATGGGCACAGTTCACGGACGGTTGCTGGTAGATGTCGGGAGTTGGTTGAGGACGTAGGTTCTGGCCGCTTGTGAAGATTGCGGATTCAATCAAGTCACGGGCTCTACCCCGAGTGAGTATTACTTGGCAAAAATAAGTCTCGACGACAATGATTACCATTATCATCATTCTTGCTGTTGCCATAAATATCAGCTTCCGTATCAATGTTGCTACTCATAGTAGTGGTAGTCGGAGTCGTAGCAGCAGCTTCAGTAGCAGCATGCTGCTAGTGCTACTGTTAGTGCTACTGCTGCTGCTAGTGCTACTGCTACTGCTGCTGCTGCTGCCGCCGCTGCTGCCGCTGCTGCTGCTGCTGCTTCTACTACTACGGCTACTACTGCTACTGCTACCAATGCTACTACTGCTGCTGCTACTACTACTAGTACTGCTACTGCTACTACTACATCCTCACCATCATCATCATCACCACCACCACCACCATGATAAACAATTCTTCACCGAGGATTTCTTGAGGAGTGGCAAGGCGGACAAGGACGTGGCGTGCTCGCTAAAGGATGTCAGGGTCACTCAACGTTGTTTTCGGTATCAGGAAATCGCTCCCAAGTGGAAAACGCTTCAGGTTTGAGTCAGGGATGCAGGGGGCTTCAGGATTGCAGAGCTTACAACAGAGAATTTCCCTGCTAGGAGACGTGGGCCGAGCCAAGCCGCAAGAACAAGAACAAGAATCGCCAGCACCACGTCGCTGTACATGGGGGATTTGGCTACTTTGCAGTTGGATGCCGGTTGAGGAATCCGGGACATTGAGGTTACTTCTGCAGGTGAATACTGGGGCCTGTATAATTACCTACTATGCTTATAGTTATAGTAAGAATATACCCCCAAACCCTGTTCTCGTTATTCAGGCCCCTATATTCAGCCTTTCTGCAACATGCCCGGTTGAAGCTCAACGACCCGAAACGCAAAGCACAGCCGCATCCCAGCTCCCCTCAACGTGATCATCCCCCAGCCTCACAGCAAGCAATCTAAACCCAAAGCCCTAGGTTAACCCAAAGCCCTAAGTAAACCCTAAACCCTTTAAACCCCAAAACCCTAAACCCTAAAACCCTAAAACCCTAAAACCCTAAAACCCTAAACCCTTTAAACCCTAAAGCCCTAAACCCTACAACCCTAAACCCTAAACCCTAAAACCCTAAAACCCTAAACACTAAGCCCTAAACCCTAAACCCTTCAGTTTGCCACAGCCGTATGCGCAGGAATCCGGAATCTACAACCAGAGATCTGACCTCCGGAAAGCTTAAGCCCACGACCCTGAAACCTAAACCCTCCCTAAACCGTGTACTCTAAGGCTTTGGGTTTGGGGTTTGGGGTTTGGGGCTTAGGGTTTAGGGTTTAGCGGGGGGGCCTTTGGTAGAGAGCCACTATGTAAGCTCCACGTGAAGAATTATGCAGGGCTTTGGGAAGTCGTAGGTTCTTGGGTTTGGAGGGTCTAGGGCTGGCTTTAGGGTTTAGGATTTAGGGTTTAGGGTTTAGGGTTTAGGGTGGGATTATAGAGATAGGCTGGATGTACTCACTGAGTCTAATGGTTGGTAGACTTCTTCATGTTCTTGCCTGTCTGGTCATAGTCACGATGATGGGGACACCTCACTGCATCAGAGCTGGCATCATCTACACTCCTGAGTTGCTACTGTTATTCTTCTTCTTATTGCAGTTCTTGTTTTACCTAATCCCTAAACCCTAAACCCTAAACCCTAAACCCTAAACCCTAAACCCTAAACCCTAAACCCTAAGCCCAAGACCCACGCCCTATGAGATTCGACTCTAACCTTCGAGCTCATGGGACGACGGGCAGAAACCCTGCTAAACGCCGAACCCCAAGAACCTTAAGCCTGAAACCACCAACACTCATCCCTACCAGGCCCTAATGTAGGGATCTAAAGAATTACCAGTTCCAAACCCTAAACCCTAAACCCTAAACCCTAAAAAGTTCCATGTTATAGTTATAGTATAGAAGCCTATGCTACTTATGAAGGGCCCTATATGGGGGCTTCCGAAAATAGGGGACCCTAATATATATAGCACCCTGAATATATCATAAGGACCCCAAAAGTAAAGCACCCCGTAGTTTCGGAAACTCCCATATTACCCTAAACCCTAAACCCTAAACCCTAAACCCTGCCCCAAAAGCCTATTCTAATTGTTAAGGGCCCTATATTATCACTAAACCCTAAACCCTAAACCCTGCCCCAAAAGCGTATTCTAATTATTAAGGGCCCTATATTATCCCTTAACTCCTAAACCCTAAACCCTAAACCCCTAAACCCTAAACCCTAACCCTTAAACCCTGCAGTTCCACAGAAAGGCAGAAGGCTGCGGTTCGAGTGATGGACGTCTCTCGGTGGCCCCGGAAAAGCTGCTTTTTCCTAGAAGAGCGAGAGGGTGCGTGCAGAGTTCGGGGGGTTTAGGGTTTAGGGGTTTAGGGTTTAGGGTTTAGGGGTTTAGGGGTTTAGGGTTTAGGGTTTAGGGGTTTAGGGTTTAGGTTTTAGGGTTCTACTATGAGATAGCATCAAGCAATACACCATACTTCATAAGTAAGATCAAGGGTAGTCATTCAATAGTGGAATTTAACGGACCATGCCACAGTCTGTTGCAATATACCATAAAAATATACGATAATAACTGGCATAATGCAGTATAGCGTAGTATCCTACACCCTAAACCCTAAACTTGCATGCTGAAAACTTGACGCCAATCCTGAAACCACTTCTCTCGGCTCAAGTGCATTGGAAGGTCCAGAGGTCGTCGGGGCGTGGTAGAGTCGCACGACCCACGTTTAGGGTTTAGGGTTTAGGGGTTGTCAGAAGCCAAGCTGATTGGTTGTCTTAAGACGTGTAACATCATCGTGACACCGCCTGATGAAAACTTAGAAACTTTGAGGCACCTTCAAAATCAGCAGAAAACCACAGGCAACGACAAACGCCAAGGCCCCAAGTAGAGCCCACATCTAGACTGTTTAGCCCCCTTCACAGGCAACTACAGCGCAGCAGAGGTTTGTCTTACGCGAATTCGAGCCACAGCCCTGTCGACGATGGCAGCAGAGAGACCTGGGCAGGTTGGATGACGTTGACCGTAGCAGAACTTTTGGGCGTTTGGGATTTGGAGGGTTTTGGGTTGAATTCAGAGATTAGGTTCTGTGTTTAGGGGAAGTTTAGGGAATGGGGTCTTAAGGTCTTGGGGGTTAAACGAAGGTTTATTCAGGGGCTATAATGACTACAATAGTTTATCTAATGGTTCATCGCGCATGCTCTTTGGCTTTTGCGCACGACTTGCTGAAACCTTGATCGATCGCACGGAACATTGTTTGTCAAAGACCTGTGAAACAACATGGAAACTACTGAAGCTATGGATCGTGTGGAAAGTCCGAGAAACCGATGTGTGGAGAGCACACCCCACACGACTTGCTGAAATCGCGTTTCTAAATCTAGATTTCTGATTTTGTGCGGAACGTGTTTTGACAAGCTTCTGTGGCAACAACGTAGGCACCACGTTATCTATGTGGTCGTGTGGGGAGAACCATTAATATAGAAGCCTAAACAAACTACCAATCGTATGTTGGTGGGTTTCTTATTATAAATATCATATAATATACCCCTAAACCCTATTCGAATTAGTAAGGCCCCTACATCGAATCTTTGCTTTTCGTTACTGCAGTTGGGGTAAGTTTTCCCTTGAGCTGTTTTGGTCTTCTTTTTCTGTCCACTGCTGTTTATGGGACTTCGTCGTCCGTGTTTGTAAGGGTGTGAGGATTGTTATAAGGGTTGTTGGTTTATGTCATATGTAGGCGTTCACTGTAGAGTTTGGGGTTTGAGGGCGTACAGCTTCCCCAAATCTAAGGATGTTGAACCCTCTCCTCTCTGAACCCCTAAACCCTAAACCCTAAACCCCTAAACCCTAAACCCTCAACCCTAAATCTAAGGATGTTGAACCCTAGGTGCCCTAGCAAGTCGACCCGCGGACGTGAACCGTTTTTTGTAGCACCGAAACGGTTTAGGGTTTATCAAAAGTTGGAAACCGGATTAAGGACAAAGAGTGCTGGGATTCCTCATACATTGCTCTTGAGGATTGAGACTATTGGGTTTCCAACTTTTGGGCTTCTGCTACAGGGTCTAGGGGTTGTGCTACCAGTCCTTTGTAAAGGCACTGCAATCAGGATGGTCCACTGATGACGACTACTATTGCAACTGTGGAATAGGATGCCCCGAACGCACTGAACACTGCAAGCCCTGTGGCTCTTCTAGCACAGGTTCCAGCTCGTTGGCTCCCGGTGGAGCAATGTGGTGCCTTGGTAGCAACATTCAGCTGTCGTGGTCACTTGGGTTTGGTCTACAGGGCAATACGTAGGTTTGCCTGTAAGGGGTACTACATGTAGGGGTGCTATCAGAGGCACTACGCTCGGACGTCCGAGCATTGTGGCAAGAACTCATTCTACGCGCTCTTGTGCCGGTTCATCCTTCCTGTGTTTGTACTGTTCGGCAGCAACTTCCGAGATTTTTGGACTGAAGAACCGGTATTAACTAGTCTCCCTGCTTATAAGTTCCCGTATAGTGTAAACAGGAAAGATACTCGTGACGTGACCCCAAGATCCTACGGCCTTCCCTCGCAATCAACCCAGGACCTGAAGGCCCAAACCATAATCCGTAGGTTTAGGGTTTAGGGTTTAGGGTTTTGTACTCTTTACCCATCGGCTCCATCGTAGTTCCTTTTTGGGGAGTACCTCAGAGGATCCTAGGTAGGGTTTAGGGTTTAGTACGAGCCACAAAAAGGAGCTATAATAGAGCCTAAATGGGGTAGAGCCCAGAAAGACCATGGTGGAAGTCGGGGTAGACGCCATCGTGGCTTGGGTTTAGGGTGTAGGGTTTAGGGTTTAGGCGTTAGGGTTGAGGGTTTACTGTAGGGTTTAGGGTTTAGGGTTTAGGGGGGTGTGGGA